CCTTATTATTAAGAAAGCGAACTTTCACCACTGAGCGAAATGGAAATTTCTTCCTTCCAGCTTGGAATCTTCAACCTTATAACCAAAGTCGTTCAAAACATATGAACAAGTGCCGCTGGACCCAATAGAGACAAGTAGCGGAAACCAAGTTGGTGTTTTAACCAGGTATTTAGGGCAACTTCTTTAAATACGAGTATTTTAAAATGAGTGAAATATTATTTCCATTAAGAAAAGTGAGAGAAAGGAGAGAGCACCCATATTTATATATACACATTAATTAACACCCAAGTAGGATTTTTAGACAATTTTTTTCTTTAAAAGGCGAAAATTTTGGTTGATCATTTCGTTTTAACCAGATTTTCACCTAAATTTTCTATTCCGTTTTTGAAAATCATCCACATGCACGGTTGCCATGGATACAAAAAAAATTGCCTTTTTCGTAAAAAACTCTCGATTTAATTTTAAGTATTAGTACAGTATATGTACAAGTACAAGAACATGAACATGAACAGTACATGTACATGTACATGTACAGAGAAAGTGGCTATGGAAACTTTTTGTGCAGAGTTTAACTGTGCTGCTCAAAAAGAATGTTAACTTGACAGATCACGAATGAATCAACATTTTTTAATATTATGTCGATCAATTTTATTTTACCAAAAATAAAATATTTACCAAATAAAATATAATTAAACAATTTAATAAATATTAATTTTTTTTTTTTTGTTAAATTGGAACACTCATAATATTCTGAATTGCAAAAAAAATTTTTAAGAAATATTTTTACAAAATTTTATTTAATTAAAAAATTAAAGACATTTCGTACTGAAAAAATCAGAATTTATTTTTACTGTTACGCCAAAAATTTTTTTCGTAATACAATCGAAGTCTATAAAAAAAAATTCTCACAGTAAAAAAAAAAATCATCTCTCCCACTTTTCTTCTTGGACTGTTTACTTTCAGAAAAAAAAATAAATTTTACTTTAAAAACTGTCAATTTTTTTTTACTATGACATCAACCTTAACTGTTATTGGACTTGTTGCTCACGTAAAATCATCTGAAAGAACTGTTCATGGTGAGGCTATGTATAGGGAAAAAATTACTGGACAAAATCATCGCTTCCTTTTCAAACAATTTGTTAATGCACGACATGAATATAACGAAGCGTTCAGGGAGGGAGATTTGGTATTATTTGGAGGAAAATTTACTATCGATGAGCAAAAATTAATGGTAAGTAATTATACATGTTTTTTTGTAGCTAAAATAACTATAAATTAAAAAAAAAAAATACTTATTTTTTTCATGGTGGTAGCTTGTTGTTGAAATGGCTTGTGTGATGGAGCCAAAAATGGGGCCAAATGGTGAACATCTGAAGTGGGACCCAACACAGATCCCGTCAACCAAACCATTCATTAACATCTCAACATCTGCAGAAGAACCCCTAACTACCTACGAAAATATGAATTTTGTAAAAACGCGTTCATTGGTTTACTCTCCATTCCATTCATCAGCTCGTAATATTAATTTTGAGTTAGGGTATTCGAAGGACGCAAAATGGCTTGAGTCTATTAACGACAAGTGGAGTGATTACGCAAACTTTTTTGTTGGAGGATTCCTTGAAGCTATTTACACAGCAAACAGCAAAACATATGCTCAAGTTGATGCCAAAATGATTGACTATGATGCAAGGTTCCGTCATCCAAATTACCAATTTCCTATATCGTCCCCAAAGAAATCAGCTAATGCATTTGCGATGAGAAGAAATGAATTGATTTCAAACCCCATTTCTAATCCAAGAACGGACTCAATAATTATAGATGATAATACGCAAGAACTTAATCCAAACAAAAAAAAATCGATTATTATCGATGATGATGATGAATCAGCCACCCAATCTGCCGTTGATAATGAAGAATTCATGTCTAATAACAAAAAATTGAAAGGATCTCAAAGAACTACCTTGTCAAAAAAACGACAGCTATCAGATTTATGTAACGATCTAGATGATGATCTTAATCTTAACGATTCTGATGATGACGCTGCTAATAATCTTGATGATAGTCCATTCAAACTTGATGTTAACAAAGTTAGAGGCGGAAAGGGTAGTAGAGGCAGACGAGGTCGAAAATCTAATAAAAAATAAATCATATTATTGTTACTTTGTGTAAAAGAACAATAATATTATCATTACTTCATGAAATTTCGCAACTTACGATATTAATAAAAGTTATCCTAAAAGAAATATTAAATAAAATATTTTTGAATGAAATTTTTTTTTTTATATGTAAAAAATTATTGAAAGTAAAAAGTAATTTCTTTTAGTAACGGCAGTTTCGGTACCAGTTTTGTGATTTATCAAACTGATTACCAATCGGTTGATAAAAATTGTTACAGAACGTCTTTTAACAAGTATTTGCATCATTTTTTTGTTAAAACAGTTAAAAGACATTACAAAACGTCTTTTAACAAGTAAATTAATAAATTAAAAAATGTTTTGTATCATTTTTGTTAAAACAGTTAAAAAATGTTGCGAAACATTTTTTAACATTGGAATGAATTATTAAATGTAAGGCGCAGTATTATATTTAGTTTAGATACTTTAAAATTTTTATTTTATTTTATTTACTGCGTCCACAGTGAGTAAAACTATTAGAATTGTTAAGGGAATAAAACGTCCAGGTACATGGCATTAAACTGTACCTATAGGTGTCGTCAAAATGCCATATTTATAATTACAGCATTACGGCAAAATGGGAATTTGCCCTTAAAATATAAAGATCGGCATTCAATAATTTATAAAATAATTTGGTAGAATGGTATTACGGTATAAGCTTTATATACCGTAATTAATTTTGATGACACCTATAACTGTGCCATATAATTCATTTTAGTGGACTATAGTTCTTGTAATTAATTTTTATTTTATTTTATTTGTTTGTTTATTTTAGAATAAGGAACATTGTAATCACAATAGAGATCGGAACTAAGGGGTGATGTATATTGTAACAATGATATTGGAAATTTTAAAGATATTAGAATGAAAAGTTAATTTCAGAATTAAGAATTTAATATTGAAGTTAAAATGGATAAAGTATGGATATTTAAAAGGGAATTTAATTGTAAATAATGGAAATTAATTTAGTCCGAAATGTTTAAATCGAGTACAGAACCAAGTGGGAACTTAAAAGTTATAAAATGAGGGAACTTTAGGGCGTAATAATTTAATAGTATATGGGAAATAATCTATAAAATATAAATATTGAAATTATTAAGGAATTTGTTAGTTCTGATATTATTTTGAAGTTATATTAATAAGTATGAAACAAGGAATAATGTCTACTTAGGAGAAACTATCGAAGTTTAAAAGTGTAAATTATGAATAATGGGAATTTATTAATGATGTGGAAAATTCGGAATAAGAGACATAAATAATTTTATTAGTTTATTTTTATTTTTTCACTATATATTATTAGAACCAAGTATAGACTCGGGATTGTAACAGATTATTTTGTATTTTGTTATTATAAATAAAGTCAACAATGTTCAAGGTAAATGTGACTTGTCACAGTACGTCCTTACATGTAATTTAATAAATAAGATAACGTTACGCAACGTTTTCTATTAAAAAATTAAAAATGTTTGCGAAAAACGTTTTTTATTAATAATTTAATAAAAAACAAACGTTTTTCTCAAACATTTTTAATTTTTTTTAACAAAAAAACGTTGCAAAAACGTTTTTTATTAATAATTTAATAAAAAAAACGTTTTTCGCAAACGTTTTTAATTGTTTTAATAGAAACGTTGCGAAAACGTTTTCTATTAATAATTTAATAAAAAAAACATTTATCTTAAATGTTTTTAATTTTTTTAACAAAAAAACATTTGCGAAAACGTTTTTTATTAATAATTTAATAAAAAAAACGTTTTTTGCAAACTCTTTAATTGTTTTAATAGAAAACGTTGTGAAAACGTTTTCTATTAATAATTTAATAAAAAAAAACATTTATCTTAAATGTTTTTAATTTTTTTAACAAAAAAACGTTGCAAAAATGTTTTTTATTAATAATTTAATAAAAAAAAACATTTTTCGCAAATGTTTTTAATTGTTTTAATAGAAAACGTTGCGAAAACGTTTTTATTAAGTAATTTAATTAAAAAAAATGGTTCACAATGCTTTTTAATAAAAAACATTGCGAAACCTTTTTTTATTAAATAATTATATAGAAAAAAACGTTTTTGTAATTTTTTTACCTTAAAATAAAAATATTGCGAAAATAGTAAAAATCGGGCCAATAATAAATCGGTAAATCAGTTCGGTTTTCGGTAATTGACATACCGATACTGATCAATTTGGTTCAGTTTCGGTTTTGGCAAAAACCGAGCCGAACCGAACTGCCTAGACCTACGCTATTCAATTTTTGGCTGTGGCTCTTCTTCTCAATATGCCATTCGATTTGCTTTGCCAAGTGATGCATTAAATTATTATAAATAAAACAAAAATAATTCTACTTTCTATATTTTTTGCAACACTTTTCTTCAGTTTTGAATAAAAAAATATTCTCAAAAACTATGGATTTAAACATTAATCGTTGGAGAGTTGAATTATCAGATGATGAATCTGAATCTTATTCAGATTATGAAGATTTTGATAATTCTCTATTTTCAAGTTTTGCAGTACGTCAAACTGCCAATGCAGACCATTCTCGTGTTCCAATCCAATCCTCTTTTCCATCTTCAAATATAACTTTTAGAGCTTATTTTCCACCCTGGCAACCCTCTACAAAACTATTCAATTTAAAATCTCGATTTGATAAAGATGTTCTTACCCAGTATCCATGTGTTCCATGTAGTTATTGTTCTCGTTTACAATACCCAACAAAAGCAAGATGGGAATTATATGATGACACTATTCAATACCCTTTAGAGAAAGTTTACCAAAACAATCCACAAATTAAATTAGTTTTTCACACTGATGATTCTAAGCCTAAACGGATAGCAACATGTTCCTCTTGCCATAATTCTAATAATCGATTTAATATACCAGTTCCTGATCCTGTTCCAGCTGAAATTCAAAATGTACCTCCATATCACCGTATTTATCTTTCTCCTATTCATCTTAGCTGTTCATTAGGTCGAACTCCAAATAGTAATGCTTATTCAAATTATCGTCACTTAACTGGTACTTTTATTTATTCAAAAAATATCAATGCTCTTGCATTATATTCTGGTACTGTTGGTGCTATATTGGCCAATAATAATTCAAATTCATGGTATCATTCTTCACTTGATAATGCAGCAACATGGTTATGTGATAATAATCCTTACTTTAAACCATATAAAACTTTAATTAACCGTGGTACTTGGGATGGACCCCCAGTCATTTTTCCAATTGCTTTACCTAGCAATCTTTCTCAAACCCAAGAACAACCTATATTTAATATTAATTCTCGACCTTCTGCAGTAGTAGTACCTCCTTATGATTTTGATACAGAAATACATAATGAAGATTATTATTATTCTCGATTAATGGCAGGATTTTTAACTGATCCTAATAATAAGGAATTACCAATACCATTTTATGATAAAAATATTGAACCACTGTTGTTTCCTGATCTTTTTCCATATGGAAAAGGTTTTTATTTAAATGATAAAAATACAAATAGACGAAATATAGACACTCTAGGCAATTATGCAAAATCTTTACTACTTTGTCCTGATCCTAGATGGCGTTTATCTTGGTATTGGCCTCATTATATTTATCTAACACTTGAAAAGTTAAGAAATCATCAAAATAGAACTTGAATATTAAATCAACATAATATTTCTCAATCAAATCAATTAACAACTGCAGATTTTATTACTAATAGTATTTATACTGGACGTCCTATTATTAATGAAAGTAAAACAACAACTGTACCTTCCTATATAAGAACTGGAGATTCTTATTTTCGTCAAAAAGAACATCACATTAATACAATGGTTCAGGGATTTGGTCTTCCACAAATTTTTTATACTATGACTATGGCTGAAAACCATTGGTCACATTTGCATAAAATTTTATCAAAAACTGATAATAAAGATACTTTACCTTCTAATCATCCTTTTCATACTTATTTACATTATCATCACCATTTATCATCAATACATCAATCTCTTTGGAAAAATCCAAATCTAACAAATTGGGGTAATTGGTTACATCATTTTGAACGAGATGAATTTCAAAATCGTGGAGCAATACATACACATGGTATTGCCTATTTGTCTAAATCAATTCCTGAATTAATTGATTCTAATGTTATTAGAGCAGATATGCCTGATCCCAATTTAGAACCAGAATTATATGAATTAGTTAAAAAACATCAAATTCATACATGTGATTTACGTTGTGGTGGTCCTGCTCTACCTGGATCACGATGTAAAAAAGGATTTCCACAACCTTACTCAAATACTACATATGAAGATCCTAATTCCTTAAGATATATTTATCGTCGTACAAAAGAAGAAGATTTATATGTTATTCCATATCATGCACCAACTCTTTTTTTATGGAATGGACATGTAAATTTTCAGTATGTAACAACACATCAATTTGCAAAATATATGACAAAATATGTTACAAAATCTGAATCTACAGAATATTTTGATCTTTTTGAAGCTGATGCATATCGAAAACATATTTTAGCCAGACGTCTTGGTTCAATGGAATTAATGATTCTTTTACTTGGATATTCAATATGTCGATCATCAATTGCTGTTGAATTTCTTCCTTCTATTCCTTCTGAAGTAAGAAATAAATCTGTTAAACCACCTTATTTATTACAACAAGAAGAACAATTATCTCCATATTGGGATGATGCAATTGATAAATATTTTGACCGTCCATCTGATAATATATTTGATAATTTAACATATCCTTTATATCATCGTAATTATATTATTCAGAAAAATCAACCAGCTAGTGGAACATATTATATTGATAAAAAAAATCGGTTTATAAAAAAATGACAAAAAGAAATTCTTGTACGTTTTCAACATTTAACTATTCAACATTCTGAATCATTTTTTTATCAACAATTACTACTCAGATTACCTGCTCGAAGTGAAGATGAGTTAAAAAATTCTTATCCAACTTATAAAGCTCATTTTGAAGCTAAATATCCTACTGAATATTCATTGACCTTAATTCATGTGCAAAACTCAATGCAAACTAATATTCAAAAATATACAAAAAATTATCAGAATTTAATTGATAAATTAATAACTTCATTGCATACAAATTTACAGCATATTATTAGAAACCAATTATTTAATTTATTAAAACAACCTAATCCTTCAAATAGTCTTTCTTCAATGATATTTTCAGAAGATCAATATAAAGTATTTAATATACTTATAAATAATTGGGGACAAAGAGAACATTCTAAACATCCATACTTTTTTTTAACTGGTTCAGCAGATACAGGTAAATCTTTTATGATTCAACAAATTGTAAATTTTCTAATTAACAAAAATATTAAATACTTATTAATGGCACCTACTGGAGTTGCTGCTAAAAATGTTGATGGTCAAACTATACATTCAACATTACATATTAGAAATACTCAAACATATTTTGAAACATTATCTTATTATAATGATCAGCAAAGAAATGAACTTAGTCAAATTAAAGCTATTATAATTGAAGAAGTATCAATGGTATCAGCACCACTTTTATCATTTATTAGTTTATTATTTGCAAAAATCCACAAAAATTCAGCACCTTTTGGTGGTATTCAAACCTTACTTTTTGGAGATATTGCTCAACTCCCACCTGTTAATGGTAAACAAGTCTTTTTTGCTCATGATTGGCTTGAATTTTTTCCACTTTTTCTCACTACTTCTCATAGTCAACATGAAGATTTATCATTTTACTATGCATTTCAAGAAATGCGAGTAGGAAAATTAAGTTCACAAACAATAAACCTAATTAATGAAAAAGTATCATCTTATGAAAATAGTATTACATCAATTGATACTACTTACATTTGTGGATTTCGTAATGAAGCTGATACAATTAATAACTTAATTTGTGGATTTTTGCCTACTTCTGATGAAAATACTTCTGGATTAATATCAGTAGCTGTTGATTACATTAATAATATAGAATGTGAACCAAAAGAATATGATAATCAATTTAGACATTATACCAATCTGCCATCTGAATTAATAATAAGAGAAGGTGCAAAAGTAATGTTCTTGACTAATAAATTATTTATAGAAGAACTTTGCAATGGATCAATTGGTATTATAACTAAATTAATAGATGAAAATCACATAGAAGTAGTATTTCCTATAAATTCTGGAATAAATCAAGTAGTAGTAGAAAAAATTACTACTTATTTTTATATAAATGGAGCTCCAGCACAACGTATACAATTTCCTCTTCAGAATGCATTTGCATTAACTGTACATAAGACACAAGGTCTTACACTTCCCCATGCAACTATATCATTAGATGAACAAATGTTTGCTAATGGACAAGCTTATGTAGCTATGAGTCGTGCTAAATCTTGGCAAAATTTGGAAATTCGATCTTTTGATCCAAATGCAATTAAAGTAGATAATGACATGTTACTAGAATTAGATAGACTTCAAAAAAAATATGATTCTTTACAATCATTATATTTATAATATTTGTATTATAAAATTCAATCTTTTATTCAAATGCAATTAAATTAAATAATGAGAAATTACTAGAATTAAATTGATTACAACAAAAATATAATGCTTTATATCATTATTCATAATATTTTTATTATAACTAAATAAAGTATAATATTTAAAAGCTCACTAACTTGTACTTGATTACCCTAGTTATATATTATATAAAAATATTGTATTAATATTAAATTAAAATATACTTAACTGCATATTGGTTTAATTTTGTAATTATGTAACCTTCATCCATTTCGATTTTTACATGTTCAGGATCTAACATATTTTGAATACATGCTTTTATCACAAAAGCATTATTTTTGGTTGCATTTTTACTGAACACTTTGGCAACAATTTGGGAAAGTAGTGACTCATCTTCTTCATCAATACATGTCTCTAGATTTTCAAACCACCATCGAACTTTATCATTTGATTTCCATTTGGCAAGATCTGCCTAACTAGTAGACGTATCAACTTTTTCCAATTGACCTTTTAAGCATGACCATGTATGTCTACGTATTGTTCCAAATAAACTTTCACGATATGAACAACAATATGATCCAACCTAATTTAAATATATGATTATTAGTATATAAAATATTATGAGAAGTACAAATAAATAAAAAAATTATTTAACAATCACCTTTTCTTCAATTCTTCACCATAATATATTCCATTTAGTAGTTTGTTCATATTTTTCCATTTTTTCAGGAGCCATTATCTTTAGATGCTTCTTTATATGTAATGAAAGAGATTCCGCTTTCAGGTATAGACATTCATTTATTATTTCTTTAACTCCATCTTCCACATATTGCTATATAAATAAAATTAAAAATATGAAATAAAAACACATATTACAGATGAACTCCCACCACTCAGACTTTTTCTTTCCTTCTATAACACATTCCAGTTTTTTGACTATAGATTTAATTTGTTTGATTGTGATTGCATTTGATTCGTAGTTTTTTCTTGCTTCTGAAACATAGCTATGGTATGATCGTACATTTGTTTATGAAGATCAAAAAGCTTTTTCATTTGGCTTTCAATAACTATATTAAAAATTAAATTATCAAGAAAATCATTGAATACTAGTAATTATTAAGTTGTTAATAATATTTAATAAAATCAAAACATACCATCAGAATTTTGATTGGTAGCATTAGTAAGTATTTGACTTGAATTTTCGATGTCAATCAATGGTAAGCGAGAGATATTGTTACTTTCATCTTCAATGGTAATTGGTACTTGAGACACAATTTTATTGGGTGAGTTTTTTAATAGATTATCCATAGTATCAATTGTATTATCTGTTAATAATGATGTATTGAGTGTAATTTTTGGATTTTTGAAAATAACTTATTTATAAACACTGGTCGAAATCAAAACTTTCGACCGTTAAGAGCTTTCGGCATAAATTTTGCCGATTGGTCATGTGATTCGTCACATTTTTTGACCAATGGTAAAAATCTGTAAAATCAATCACAAATCGACTGATACTGATTGTTAAACGAAACCTCGTTCAGTCTTTTGGTGAAAAATCGACTTATACCGATTGTTATACGAAAAATGGTTACTTGAGATCGTTCAGTAAAATTTTGCCGATTGGTCATATAAATCGACACATTTTTGCCAAATGGAAAAAATCAAAAAAATATGTTCTTTTTTAATTCGAATTTATACTTGTTTACATTTTTTATATTCAGTGCATAATCATTAACGAAAAATTTTAATTGTAAAAATGAATTTCAACTCGTCTTTCGTCAAGAAATTATAATAAAAATACTACAAAAGAATCTTTATTTGNACTTTTTTATATTGATTTTAATATAAAAATGTGAATCGCAATATTGCAACTCATTTTTTATATGATTTTAATAATATAAAAATTGTATTGCAATATTGCAGTGCACTTTTTTATAATTTATAATTACTTAAAATCAAATTTACAGCAAATTATACATATATAATTTAAACATAGTATAGATCTCTTATAACCTTATTGGCTAGGACTTTTTAGGACCTGGTCCGCTTCTGGTCCAAAATTTGGATCTAAAGATCTGCAGACCAGGACCTAGGACCAGGTCTTTAGGTCCAGGACCTACGACTTTACCATCCCTAGTCATAACACCACCACCACTGTGTTTAACTGTAGGAGTCAAATTTTCAATATCATATCAGGTTCCATTTTTTCGCCAAACATGACTAGGACCATCATTTTGAAAAAGTGTAAATCTAGATTCGTCACTCCAGATGATAGTTTTCCATTGTTACACAGACCAACTTTGCCATTCTATGCATCATGACAACCATTTTTCACATTGAGATTCTGTAAGAAGTGGTTTTGGCGCAGCAACCCAGAAATAAATTTGCATTTGATGAAGGTTTTTACAAATAGTGTTAGCTGAAATCTGTTTATCCTGTGAACCATGAAATTTCTGCTGAATTTCACCCAAAGAAAGTTTATTATTCTTTTTAATAATTTCAAAAGTTTACGATGATCATTATTATTCATGGAACATGGTCTTCTAGTTCTTTTATTTGTTAATCCAATATTAAAATTTTTGTATCGGGAAATTGTGTCTGTAATGGTACTTTTTGGAATTTTTAGGACATGACTGATAGCTTCATGAGTTCTTCCTCCTTTTCAGAGGCCAATAATTTGCCCACGTTCAAACTCACTCAACTCACGAGTTTTTCCCATTTTAAAATAGCCAAGTGGCGTAGTGAACAAAAAAAGCAAAGATAATCATTGGCAAAATTGAGGCGTTATTATTTGTTTTAATTACCAAATCCGGTACATGCATCATAACACAATAAAAATACATCCATTTTAAAAAAAATGATAATTTATATATTCAATTTTGAGAAAATTGAAAAGAGCTTGACCGGATACTTTTTGGAGGGTAGTGTATATAGTAAGTGCTAAAAATTATATTAATTTAAAAGAAATATTTACCAAATTATAGTATAATAACATTAAATAAAATTTTTTAATACTTATTGTATATTATATAGTATTTTGTATAATAAAAATGTAATAAAATTAATATTTTAATTAAAGGTAGACAAATCAGCCCATATGCTTATTACTAATAGTATTTATACTGGACGTCCTATTATTGATGAAACAACTGTGCCTTCTTATATAAGAACAGGAGATTCTTATTTTCGTCAAAAAGAATATCATATTAATACAATGGTTCAAGGATTTGGTCTTCCACAAATTTTTTATACTATGACTATGGCTGAAAATCATTCGCTACATTTGCATAAAATTTTATCAAAAACTGATAATAAAGATACTTTACCTTCTAATCATTCTTTTCATACTTATTTACATTATCATCACCATTTATCATCAATACATCAATCTTTTTGGAAAATCCAAATCTAACAAATTGGAGTAATTGGTTACATCATTTTGAACGAGATGAATTTCAAAATCGTGGAGCAATACATACACATGGTATTGCCTATTTGTCTAAATCAATTCCTGAATTAATTGATTCTAATATTATTAGTAAAGCAGATATGCCTAATCCCAATTTAAAACCAGAATTATATGAATTAGTTAAAAAACATCAAATTCATACATGTGATTCATGTTGTGGTGGTCCTGCTCTACCTGGATCATGATGCAAAAAAGGATTTCCACAACCTTACTCAAATACTACATATGAAGATCTTAATTCCTTAAGATATATTTATTTTCGTACAAAAGAAGAAGATTTATATGTTATTCCATATCATGCACCAACTTTATTTTTATGGAATGGACATGTAAATTTTCAGTATGTAACAACACACCAATTTGCAAAATATATGACAAAATATGTTATAAAATCAGAACTTACAGAATATTTTGATCTTTTTGAAGCTAATGCATATCGAAAACATACTTTAGCCAGGCGTTTTGGTTCAATGGAATTAATGATTCTTTTACTTGGATATTCAATATGTCAATCATCAATTGCTGTTGAATTTCTTCCTTCCATTCCTTCTGAAGTAAGAAATAAATCTGTTAAGCCACCTTATTTATTACAACAAGGAGAACAACTATCTCCATATTGGGATGATGCAATTGATAAATATTTTGATCATCCATCTGATAATATATTTAATAATTTAACATATCCCTTGTCACAATTATATTATTCAAAAAAATCAACCAACTAATGGAATATATTTTATTGATAAAAAAAATCAGTTTATAAAAAAAATGACAAAAAGAAATTTTTGTACATTTTCAACATTTAACTATTCAACATTCTGAATCATTTTTTTATCAACAATTACTACTCAGATTATCTGCTCGAAGTGAAGCTGAGTTAAAAAATTCTTATCCAACTTATAAAGCTTATTTTGAAGTAAAATATCCTACTGAATATTCATTGACCTTAAATTATGTGCAAAACTCAATGTAAACTAATATTCAAAAATATACAAAAAATTATCAGAATTTAATTGATAAATTAATAACTTTATTACATACAAATTTACAGCATATTATCAGAAACCAATTATTTAATTTATTAAAACAACCCAATCCTTCAAATAGTCTTTCTTTAATGATATTTTCAGAAGATCAATATAAAGTATTTAATATACTTATAAATAATTGGGAACAAAGAGAACATTCTAAACATCCATACTTTTTTTTAACTAGTTCAGCAGGTACAGGTAAATCTTTTATGATTCAACAAATTGTAAATTTTCTAATTAACAGAAATATTAAATATTTATTAATGGCACCTACTGGAGTTGCTGCTAAAAATGTTGATAGTCAAACTATACATTCAACATTACATATTAGAAATACTCAAACATATTTTGAAACATTATCTCATTATAATGATCAGCAAAGAAATGAACTTAGTCAAATTAAAGCTATTATAATTGAAGAAGTATCAACTATGTATTTATAATAATGATATCTGATTTAATTTTATATTTTAAATTTAGATTTTATTATAAATAGTATTAGAATTTTAAGGAGATCAAATTAAATTATAAAGCATGTTAAATTGAGGTAAGACGAATAGTAGTATAGTAAGCATAGCGGACATCCCTATTTTATCACAATTTTGATGATCATTTGTTGATCATTTATTCAATTTTATCTCTTCGCTATAATTAAATTGATTGGCTTTGGTTGAAAATAAGCTTAACCAGTTAATTAACCGGTTAAAACGGTTAACCAGTTAAACATTTGTTAACCGGTTAAAAAACAATTTTTAACCAGTTAAATTAATCGGTTAAATTAATTGGTTAATTTAACCGGTTAAAATGCTGAAAATATTTGTAATTCTAGCCAAATTTACAGTGCCAGCCAGAATTATAAATCACGGACTTCAGATAAAAGTTTAGCTACCAGGTAAGATACCAACAGACTAGTGTTTGTATCTGGTTAATATCTGGATAAAAAAATCTGTTACCGTTAAGAATTTTTAAATCTGGTTATCCAGAAAAATTATTTTTTGCTAAACTGGGATATCCATCCGGCTTAATCTGTGATATTCGTGGATAACTAACGGGTTATAAACAGATTTGTATCTGGATATAAAAGTAAACAACCCGTGAACCTAATATAATTTTTTCACACAGTTTTATTTGTATTTTATAGATTTATAAAAAAAAAATAAAAAATTTTTATTCAAAAATTGCTTTATTGGAATTCATTATGAGATTTATATGAAGTATATAAGCAGGGTTGGGAATTGTACTAGTACAGTACTAGTACAGTATAGTACAGTACTAAGTACTGTACTTGTACTTGAAAATTTAGTACAAATACAATTTTAGTACATACTATTAATAAATTTTATTGGTTAATTTTATAAATATAAACAATATTGATCACATGATATCTACCTAAAATGGTTAAATTATATCCTAAAAAGTAATAATTGTATTAGTACAGTGTACTTAGTACTTGTACGAAATTTTTACTAGTACAGTATGTACTAGAATTTTGCTAGTACAGGTGTACTACCACAACCCTGTATATAAGTATATAATAGAATAATAAATTCTAAACATCAAGAATAGAGCTGGAGGGTAAATAATAGCAAAATGGTGACTATTTCATTTTAAGAACATAACACGGCTAAATAACTCAAGTTTAATTCATATTTTTTTAACAGTTAAAAGTTACCTGCATCTGAGAATAGTCATTCTGAAGGAGTAGATGCTGCCCGAATGCCTAATATCTTTTTAAATAATTGGCTTAAAACTGGAAATTTCTCTTTTTTTTTCATTCCACCAAGCATATGGATCTTTTTCAAATGGAA